ACAAGCCCAGCTCCCTCAGCCTGTCTTTGTAGTGGAGGTGCTGCAGCCCCTGATCATCTCTGTGGCTCCCCTGCACCCTCTCCAACAGCTCCCTGCCTTGCTTGGCCTGGGGGCTCCTGCCCTGGACGCAGTGCTGCAGATGGGGCCTCACAAGAGCAGAGCACAGAGGGACGGTCACCTCCCTGTCCCTGCTGCCCACCCCTCTGCTGATGCAGCCCACGATTCCATTTGTTTCCCAGCTGTCATCACACACTGCTGCCTCACGTTCGGCTTTTCAGCCATCAGGACCCCCAGCTCCTTCTCTGCAGGGCTGCCCTCCACCACTGCTCCCCCCACTCCGTATCCATGCCCGGCATTCCTCCAGCCCCACTGCCAAACCCTGCACTCTGCTGCCTTGAACCTCATCACCCAGGCCCACCCTTCAACTCTGTTGAGGTCCCTCTTAATGGCATCCCTTCCTTCCACCATGTCAACCACACCACTCAGCTTGGTGTCATCAGCAAACTTGCTGAGGGCGAATGCATGCGTGGGCTTCTCAGTGGTGGTAGCTTCAGGAAAGGGGCACTGTTGCAGTTCTGCATCACATTTGGAAGAGGAGCCATCACCCAAAGTGGCATTCAGCTGGGAGGGTCTCCTTTGGCCAATGTAAACAGACTTCATGTTTGGGCGCTTTCTTGCCTTCTTTCTCCCAGCCAGTCTCTCTCCCTTCCCAGATTTGCTGCTGGTGGCACAACACAAGTTGCCAACTGCACATGGCTTCAGTCTGCACATAGGAACCTTTTTCTGTCCTCCTAGTGCATGAGATTGCCAGTTCTTGCAGCAATTGTGAAATTTTCCCTTCGGCTCCAGTGGCACTGTGATGTATGGACTAAATTGGTTGGATTTAATTCTGTGCAATGAGCCAGCACTAAGAGCTTTTCACTGCTCGGTCCCTAAAAGCTCCTGGCAAAAGGCATCCAGCTGCTGGGTGCTGCGCCTCGGAAGACTCCTGGTTGCAGGATGGAAAAGGGGGCAACAGAACACTGCGGACAGAAATGGCACAGAGATGGCTGTGCTCTCCTTGTGCAGAGCAGCGGAGATATCAGCAGGGCTGGGAGGCACTGAATCTAAAGCTGATAAACCAGCCTCATGGCAGCAAGCTCCAGCTTCCCTTCAGCTCCAGGAAGAGGGTCTGGTCCAAACAGGAAAGTGCAATTTCAGTGTTGTAATAAATGACAGCCCAAAGAAAGGCAGATCTAAGCAGATTCAGGCTCTTCCTAAAATGGGCCATCTGTCTCCAGGTCTGTTTGTGCTGGGATTGCACAGGGCTGCACACCCATGTGAGGCACAGCAAAGGCTCCCACAGCTCGGGGAGGTTTGAGCTCCAAACTCCAGAAACCAGTTCTGGTGGCAGGTGGATGGTCGGACTGGATGATCTTGGAGATCTTTTCCAAATTTAATGATTCTGTGATTCTCTGTTCAGAAGAGCCAGAGTGAATGTTGTGAGGGCAGTGTGGCACGGGGTCAAACTGCTTTGCGCCGTTTTGTCCTTTTTATTACAGCTCCTTTGAGTGACTTCAAATCCCCCATGAGCAACAAACAACAAAATGCAGCCATGGCAATGCAGAAACATGAATGACTCCTCGTAGTGTTGTAACCACATGCCGTGATGGGGAGCAGGGCAGGCTGGGAGGCAGGGACAACAGGGAGCTGACACACAGATGAGGTGTACCCGAGAGGTTCCAAACGTTCCAACATGTGTTTGTTTGCCCACTTCACCCCCAAAAGGCAGATCTCAGTTTGGGATGTTCTGTGCAGAGCTCCAAGCGGCTCCGCACGGTGAGGAGCCAAAGGGCTCAGCCAGCGGTGCCCAACAGCCCTGACCACGGGGCTGCTGCTGAGGGCTCCGTGCAGAGGGCTGCAATGGGGAGCAGCGCTTGGTTGGGAGCTGAGTGTGGCGGTGGTGATGTGCCATCATCACCCAGCAGGCAGAGCTGCACGGTGTGGCTCTGCTGGGATGCAGCGCTCTGCGGCGGTGGGGGACGTGGAACCACGGGGACGGGCTCACTCACAATTCACTTTTGAGTTTCTAGGTGGAACCGTGCACTGAGGGCCAACAAAAAGGTTACGTGTAATCCCAGATGTAATCCCATTTGCAGAAGTGTCACTGCCTTGATCTCGTTCAGATGAAAGTAAATTTGCTCTGCGAGAAACGCTGAGGAGAGCCCAGCAGCCCTGGTAGTGTCAGCAAATGCCACTTCAGTTCAAACAAAACCTCTGGTCTCTCTCTTTCCAGATGTCCTTTTCTCCCGGTTCTCACTTCCTCTCCCCTCTCAGAAGCACAGGGAGGACGTGTGATCTCCCTCAGCTCCCTCCATCCTGCACTGCACCCGGTGCTGTCTTCTGGGCATCCTGGTCCAGTTGTTGGCAGTCCTGCACATAGCAGGGGGTTGGAACTAGAGGATCATTGTGGTCCTTTTCAACCCAGGCCATTCTGTGATTCTATGATTCTTCAGCTCTGAGAGCCCCATGTCCCACTGAGGGACTGGGAACCCTCACCCAGCTGCCAGGTGCCCGAGGGTCCCACCAGCACCAGCACCTCCAATCAGTAGCTGCGGGTTGGCTGGATTTTTCATATGCTTAGAGCAGACTCCATGCTGCAATAAGACTTCGTGCAGATAGGTCGAATTTTTGACCTAATGTTCTCGTTCCTTTAGTAGAGCAGCAAAGTTTTAGGCCACGGCTGCAGCTCTGGGCATGGGAGCAGCCACCAGAATGTGCAAAGTGCTGCATGGGGCCGGCAAAGGGCCGCGCTGCCCCTGCTCCGAATGGAAAGCACCCGGCAGAGAGCCACAGTGATGTAACGGCCCCTGGCATTTCACCCTGATAATGTCACGGTATTTATAGCCTTTTTAATACATTTCGTGGCATAATGCTGTTTTGCATCTGTCTTTCACAAGATCAATGGGAGGACAAAACCCTTTTGAGGCTCAAAATCTTCTTTCGCCTCCAGCTGCACGGACACAAGGACACTGAGCTGGAGCCCTGGAGCTGCAGCAGCCTCACACTGCGAGAGGAAGGGCAGCAACACTGCTCCCATCACCGGGCTGCAGCCCTCACCCCTACAATGAAATTTGTCTGTGCAGTTGTGGGGGAACCTGTTGCTGACATCCAGTGTCACCAGCAGTTTGCTCCTGGCAGCTGGCAGGATGTGAATCCTTGAATCACAGCGTGGTTGGGTGGGAAGGGACCTCGCAGCCCCTAGTCCCACCCTGCTGTGAGCTGTGCCCCCCAGTTCAGCTGCCCAGGACCCACCCACGACCATGGGCACCTCCAGGGATGGGGCACCCACCGCTCTGGGCAGCAGTGCCAGCGCCTCACCGCCCTAATGAAGATGCCTCTTGCTTGTAGTGATGACATTTTTGCAAGATCAGGTACTCATTTATGATGTGCTTTGGTGCCATGGTGACTAATAGGGTTAACAGACTCGGGGCTGATGCAGGAGGCACCTTCAGGCTGCTCCAAACCCACTGAGTGCTGTAGATGCAGCTGGGGCTGGGTTTGGGCCCATCCCTGGGTGCACAGTGGGTGGGGGGGTCACTGCTGGTGGTGGGGCTGGAGCTCTGCTTGCTCAGCAGCCACAATCCTGCAGGCATCGCTGCACCAGAGGATGAGCACACGTGTCAGCCATAGGAACTAATGTCACCGTGCTTCAGGGATACGTGGTTTTATTTGCAGTTTTTCCCTTTGTAGTTGTTCCCAGTCTGGCAACAAAAGCTTTAACCCTTCACTCGTGTGCGACAAAATGATTCTTTTCCTTTTAAGCTTCTGCAGTGATGACCGTGGGTTTGGCTGAAGCTGGCAGAAATGGGGCACATCTCTGTCACAACAATGGAGCACTGCAACGTGGAGAAACTGGCGTGGAGAAAGCACTGGGGAGGCTGTAACGTGATTTTGGTATCAGAACAGGCAAATGTTCCTGTTGCATTGGAAACCACAAAGCAGTGCCAGGGCCTTGGCAAGAGTGGGAAGCAAAGCAGAGACCGGTGTTACAGCTTTCCAGGTTTATTCATTTTTGGTTCTTTTGACTTGGAAAAGTAAACTGTCCTGTACTGCAGTGACAGGAGAGCTGCAGGGTTACCTGGCCACCAAACAACCCACTGTCCACTGCATTGGGCCAGGGGCAGCCGTGTGAGCTGCCTTCCCCAAAACAGAGCTCTGATGGGAGGCACAGCTCTGAGCAACCAGAGGTGTGTGTCAGGGCACCCCATGCAATGCCCTGGGATGTGCAGAGGGATGCTCTGCTGGGTGCTGGTGCGATGCTCGAGCGGGACACACAGCAGGATGGCCTTGTGCTGGGAAGGGAATGGCTGCAGCCTGCAGGCTGCCTGGCACCCACAGTGCTGAGAGGATGGGATGCTGTGGCACCGCCATCCGTTGGCCAAGGAGTGGCCACTGGTTCCATTCCATACACTCCAGCACAGGGCATGGGGAGCAGGGGTGCCAGGCACACAGGGTGCAACCATGCAAGACCAGAGTCTTTGCTGAACAGGACGTAACCTTCCCAGCCATGTATCCCTGCAGCCAAACAAATCACTCAGTGCTCTTTAAGGAGATACATGTTCTCTAGATTTCACCCTCCAAACATTGCATTGCAGTAGTGTCCCACAGGGGGAACTTGCCAGAGTGTGTCCACGTAAATAAAACTACTGAAGGCAGAAGGAGGGATTTCTTTGTCTGGTCCTCACTAGAGATATTGCATCCATTGAAGCAGTTAACGGCAGCAGGAACAGCACTGCCCTGCACAGCACTCCCCTGCCTGGCCCAGCTCTGTGCTCCCAGAATCACTGCCCCATAGCTGGCACATTCTGCTCCACCTCGTGCTGCCCCAACACGCTCCTGTCGAGCGGAGAGAGGAAATTGGGCACCGGGAGCCACGTATGGGATGCAGGTGGGGGTGATGTAATGGGGCACA